AGAGCGCGTCCCCTTTTATAGATGAAGGGGACGGCCTTACAAGCGAGAGAGAGAGTACGTATACTACTAAGTCTTGTTGCCCATGCTGTCGGGTGCAAGATGATTGTAGGCGCCCATAATACTGTTGATGTCTGACGCATGTGGGAGGTTTTTACCATGTTCTCCATGTAGGGCAAATGATGACGCCTACAACACTGTTGATGCCCAGAGGCACGTGGGGGGAGTCTTACCGTGTTTGTCTGGTAAGAGAGTTGATGGGGCCCATAATACTGTAGGGCAAATGTCGGCGCCCACAACACTGCTTGGGTTCTGGCATGCCTGGAAGGTTGTAGGGCACCCTTTTGACATGTCCTGTCGATACTGTCCTACAGATGTATAGGGTACGGTCCTTGGTTTTGCGGTTGACTTGAGCGTCCTGCCTTACTTGCTCCGCTTGTTTCCTGGTCCTCACCGAGCGGGCGTCCCCGGTCGGTTGGTCCTAGTCAGCTCCGACTACGCCAGTTGGAGAGGAGCTACGAGCAGAGGTTTGGTGTATCCCCGGTCGGAGACGCGGGTCGGAGTCGGAAGCGTTGTTGGCCAGTCCTTCCGGTTGGAGAGGCGGGCCGGAGTCGAAAGCGAGGCCTTTCGGTCGGAGAGGCGGCCAGAGTCGGAAGCGGGCGCCGTTCCTCTTTGGTCAGGCCTTCCGGTCGGAGATTGGATCGCCCTTCTGGCCTGTCGTTAGATTTTTGGGCCAGTCCAGGAGTTTGCACGTCATTCACAACGTCGTCTGCTGGACTGAGCTTTTGCTGAAAAGCAGGTCCATGGGGGACCCCGGGTTTATGAACCCGACACTAATTTTCTCTGTAGACTCTCCAACCTCTCTTCCTAGAGCTCCCGTTCAATTTCCCACCGTCCATCTTCAGATAGGTCTTCGAACGTAATGGTGATGACATTGTCGGAGTCGATTGCGCTACGTTCTCCATTGCTTGTTTCTTCTTCTTCCCCAGCGGAGTCGCCAATTGTGTTGGCACGCGAAATTGATCCGCGCAACAGCACGATAACTATCGTATTTTCGCAACGACGAGCAATTGCTTTCCGAGCAAAGCAACAAAGGATCCTCGCTTTCGTGGAGGGGAACCGACCGTTTTTCAGCGCAAAATAGCAAAGATGAACCAATCCCTAGGGTAGCTAGGGTTAGACAAGACTACGAACTACTATGGTGGAAAAACGTAGATGAAAAAAAAGTAGATGTATTTTTGTGTTTGTCGATTGGCTGGGGACTTTTGCAATCGGCCGTGGCCTTTAAATAGGCGGCTGGACTTTGCCGTAGAGTTTTAGGACTCTAACAAATACATATACTACTAGTGCATATACATCAAATAAAATATCTTTCCTAATCCTCCTTGCTTCGTTTGGCTCTGCACGATTCCGAAAAGAACTCCTCTGGTCAGACAATTAATCTATGCAAAATCTTTTCTGGACCTCCTTCCCGTTTCTTCATTGCTTTCTTTTTCTTCACACGTGCACTCCAGGATGCATCAATCTGACGTCCGGCCTCTATACGCACATATTCTTGACCTGTAGCATGTCAACTAATTTTGATTAATTATCAATAACCTATATAATTTGGCCGATCATGACATATTTCCTTAGCCAAATTACACCATCAACAGAGTTCATACTTTCTAGTACGACACTTTTTTTATAAAACACAAAAGGGTGAGCAAGTTATATTTGACTAAAAGATCTCCCAACTGTGGTGCCAAACAATTTAACAGTTCCTTCTGGCTGGATGTACTACACTTGTACAGGCCAACTCTAAAAAAAAATAACTGTGGTGCTAGTGCCACTCACCGGAGGGGCCATTACGCTTTTACGGAGTATTAGAGAAAATAGAGGGAAAAAAACTGGCCTGCTTCCTGGACAGAGCACCTCTCGGGCTGTATAGGTAGATCCCTAGCATATCTAACACCGCAAAAAATAAATTAAAATAACAGTAAAATGCCAAGATTGACTCAACGTTTTTCAGCCATCTAATAAGTTCAGTGTACTCCTTGTTTTCCATGTACGCGTGCAGAAATGCAGCAAGGCCATCGATGATGACACAACACTTTCGCATATGACTATTGATTATATGGTGAGCTCATTTCTATATTTGCATAGTAAATTTTGGTGTAATTCACTTGGTTCCATATGTACATGTCATTATTTGATTGTAGGTATAAATGTGTCTTAAAGTGCAAGTCTATCAAAGTTGAACTTTTAGGTCATCGGTAGCCCGATAATATTCCATTGGGAAGGCCATAACTCTTTCATCCGGAATGAGTTTGAGGTCCATGAGCACTTGATGGAAAACTTATTTGATAATCTTTCAAATAGATCTAGTCCTATCTCAATATCACGTCAGCAAAGTCTTCAAATCATCAAGACATTCTGCCGCTATTTCTGTCGGGTGCTACGACGTCAGTGCGGTTTTCTATTTTTACACTTAGGATCCAGGCCCAAGTTAGAGCACGCCCCAAGAAGATGGTGAACACCTAAGAGATGCCCAAGGACGTCCTCCTCCTTGGCTACCACATTAGGAGCCAAGTAAGGGTGTACAAGCCAAGTTGGAGGCCCAATCCAAGTCGAGTTTGAGTCCATCTCCGGCTCCAGGAGCAGCGTGTAGTAAAATGGACGCCCATGTCGCATACGGACTTCGTTTTCGACGATCCACGTATGGATGGAAAGATAATTTGATAAGGTAATTAATGAAAGTGGTCCCACATCAAAATTCCATCATAATCAACGGAAATCATCAAATCAAGTTGACGTCCAGAATCTGTCAGGGCGCTGCGTCGCCGTCATTTGGGCTGTTGGGCCTTAGTAACGTGTTGGGACACCTTATGGACGTGAAGAGGGGTCCTTGGACGCCCCTTAGGCTATATAATCAGTAGCCGCCGCCTATGTTATGGTTTGTGTTTTGCTTTAGATCAATCTGTCTTTGAATAGTTGCTGTTATCGGTTTGTGAAACTCCACATTCGAGATCTTAATCATATATCTGCAAGTGTCACTGTACTTGAGTTGCGTGTTATCTTGTTCTTGCTTGTGTTCTTCGATTCGCAGCAGGGATTAGCCTTCTTGGCGAGGTCAATCGGATTGTGACACGGTTGATAACTAGAGGAGACGTGGTGCTATGGTTGTAGGGTTCAGGTCTTTGTGATCTGAAACTGGATCAATATGTCGCTCTCCGACTAAATCGATAGTTATCTTCAACTTGACGGAAGATCGGGATCCCCATCCCCATCAGCCATATCATTCACTCCAATTTGCTCCGGGTAATCTTGCACCGCGCTTTGCATTTTCTCATCTAACTCACTGCACACCAGAACAAACAAATTAGTTATCAGTATATGCTCCAAAAAGAAAAGAGGAAAAGTATCTCATATTGGTAGGAAAGAAGCTGATTTGTCCGGAATAAAGAGCAATTAAATCCTATTGGTTCATGCTCAGTTTTTACTTTAGTCATCCCATCGTATGTAATTGATGTAATGAACAGAACTTGTGATAAAAAGAACAGAACTTGCGATTAAATAGTTTCTCCTTGTTAATGTGTCTAACAAGTTAACGCTAGTCATTTTCAAATAATATAATACATGTACTCCATTTGTCCTAAAATAAACCAACTTGTAGCTATGTACCTATACAGTGCCAGAAGTTGATTCATTTTGGGTCGGCCGGAGTACGTACTTGGGTACACAGAATTCACGCCATTTCCTTTTGCAAACAAAGTGCAACCTCATTTGACATTTTCTTGAACATGAATTTGGAATGGAAAGGGATTCCGACCATTCCCGCACGTCCACACCATCGTTAGTTCACTAAAAATAGAGCACGTGGCACATTTTAATCACTAGCAAGGCGAGTACCAACACCCTAAGTAGCAATTACGTAGCATCCAAAAGTTTGTCATAATTTAGAGATGTTTTGCTGATAAGCCAGACTGAAAAGTATTATTCGTTGATTTATTGTGAGAGAAAAACAATGTACCATATTCAAGCGAACGGGGCACCTGAATTGGTGTGCACTGGCGCAGGCCCACCGCGGCGGACGGGGACCTCCATCTCGTCAGGCCACGCGGAGCACTCGAAGGTGAGCGCCACTCCAGGCCGCGCGGCTGTTGCATGCATTGGTGGCCATCGCTTGGCATCGCTCCTCCACCATCTAGCGGTTGATTACAGGAGCTGGTCGAGTGGAATGCCTGATCTGCTGCTATGGCGTTTCCTAGATGAAAGAGGTGGAGGCGAGGCTAAACTTGTGGAGGTCAAAGGACCAAGGGACCAGCTGTCAGAGCAACAGCGTGCATGGATTCTTGTTCTCATCTCATGGATTATGGATTTGATGTGGAAGTTTGCAAAGTAAGCCCGGTTACCAAGCGGAGATAATTCTCTTGTTAAATTCAGTTTGATTGATTATTACTAAGATGCAAAATGCATTTGATTGATTAGATAGAAGGGCAAATCTGTAACGCATAAACAATGACATTGTTGTTGTGTTGTACTGAAATAACAGCAAAGCTCTACTTGACATGCTGTAACTTTAGTAGGGAAGGATACATTTAGTTGTTCGACACAGTTAGAAGAGGGCAAAGACTCACAGACGCACAGTAGATTGAATGTTTGAATTGAACATTATGACAATAAATATCATAGGGACAATTTCTTTTTACGTCTGAGAGGCGAGGCGAGGCTCGTACAGCGTATCATGTCCTTGTACAAAAGAACAGTCACAAATCTTGACTGTCACGATGACCTGAGATGAACAAGGTACACAACAATGTGCATTTTCTAGCTTGCACACAAAGCATGCTTTTGCAACCGCAGGCTCACTTGGTGATAATAGGTAGCACTTCACTACCATCTGAGAATGCCATGTCCCAAAGATAATCACGGTATAGATCATCCACGGTTGTGTAGTTGTTCGACGGCCGTTTCAAATATACTGGCTTTCCTCTAGGCCATGTGTTGCCTTTGATCTAGTCCTAGATAAATATGGCGCTAAACGCCTCCTCCAGCGCTCTTCTCTTACTCAATTCAGCAGTCCATCCACCAGCTCGTGCTGCTCGCTCTGCGCGTAGTCTCCTGGTCTCCTCGTCATCTCCTTGAAGAGGATCTGACCGACTGCCGATTAGTTGGGGAGCCATACCTGTGGGGCGAGGCTGAGCCACTCCCCCAAGAACGGCGGCAGGTGCATACTGGCCCTGAACTCCTGCCCCACCACTAATACCCTGAGAACTCCCAGCAGCCTGTTACAGATTGCAAGAGCACCAAGTGTTGGCATTTATACCAAGAACACGATATCAATGCATCGACCTCAAGAAAAAATAGTATCAAAGTAAAGCAGTACAGTATAGAGAAACATAATTAAAGGAAAAGGAACTTTGCAATAGTTCTTTATGCGACATATGTGTGAGTCAAACCAGACGAAAAACTGAACATGATCATATAAGGATACAAAGAGAAGATGACAATATCATGACTTTACTAAATTTCATTTGCGGTCATGTTGGTCAGGTAGGGCAATATCTAAAGATGTAAGACATCTATGCAAATATAACAATAGAACATGTTGATAAGATATCAAGGTGATAAATCTGAAAGCTGTAACTTCATGATTTAGCATTTCATCACTACTATATTCTCATGATGTTTATTACGTTCAAAAAAAAATCTCATGATGTTTACTAGAAGTTTTCCTGGTTGGCCTACTAAATGGTAGTGCCAAATATTTCCCATGCAAGCAGCTTACCAGTGACACCAGCATGATGGGATTGCTCATGTACTTACACAACCAGCTATCAGACAATTAGAACTCTAAGTTGAAGACCCATATTCTATTTTATAACCTTCATACTTTTTTTATGAAGAAAACATATATCTTGGAAATATCTACTGACCATATCATTGGCCTCGGCCTTTACAGGGTTCATCCTGCTTGCTTTAAGTGCTGCTGCAAGATCTTCCGCCTATAAAGGAACACATTATACATAAAAGATAAATCTTTTTCGATCAGATATATGAATATGTCAAAGGTTAGAGTAAAACATTTCAACAGGAATTTCGGAACTCCGTAAGACTACATCAGGGATCATGATTAAACACACCCTTTTAGCTCTGGACAAGTATATCTGCTCCGCATTTTCCTGTTGGTATCTTGCAATTTTTGCTTCAATCGCCTCGACATCTATCCCTTCGATCAGGTTGAAAGCTTGAAAAGAAAAATCAAACCTGCTAAGTTTTTCTCAATTGGTATAATTCAAGAATAATAAATTAACAAACAGGGGGAACAACTCACTCATATCCTCAACTTCTTCCAGATAATCGTTGTAGTCCTTCAGAGTAGGGAAATGTTCCTGCGTCTTGTTGAATCTAAACCCAACATACAAACAATGGTAGTTAGCAGCTTGATACAAAAAAATCCCTTTTCTTACAGAGAGGGAGTGATTGCTTCAGGGTGTGGAGCGCACATGCTGGCTATCCTGCGGCGGATGGTCATCTCCTTCGCCCACGCATTCCCCCCACCGCCTGACACCATCACCATCTCGCCGCCGCCGCCTAGACCACAGGATCAGCTCCCGCACTGCCTGGACTCACGCCGCGGTGGGTTCGAGCTGGGAAGTGAGCAGGGTGGCTAGGGTTCGGACTTCAGACTTCGGAGTGGGAAGAGGAAGGGGAAGAAGCGTACGCCTCAACTGCAATTAGAGAAAAAATGAGAGGTCCTACCGACAAATTACTGGTTTTAATAAAGTGGCACTCTACTTTATCAGGGTATCCTAACCTGACCATCATAGTTATTGCAATCTTACCGGACAATCATAGTTATTGCAAGTAATCTGAAATACTATTACTCGATTCAGTTATCTTTGACAACTCATTTTTTCACGTCCACGCATCTATATGATATACGTTTAGAAATCTACGAACAACCATTCATGACGTAAGGTTAGAAAGTGTCACGAATGCAGGTAACTTATACTTGCTTCTCAGATATTATTTTTTCATCAAATTTGGTTCAACCCTTTACCCTTATTTACAGGATTAGCCATTCACTTTGAAGTTATATCAATGATACATCATATATGTTGTTAGCATGAATCTTAAATGATCTAAAATAGTAGTCCCGTGGCAATGCACAAGGTATCAACTAGTTTGTAACTGCAGATGAAGTCCATATTACATTAGAATGACAAGTCCATCCATCCATCCTATTCATCATGAGTATATGAAACTAACCAATCAAAGATTGTAACTATAGTACATAATAGATGAGTAATTAAACTACTAATCTGTTAACATAGCATACACCATGTCACCTATTTCTATCAATACATGTGAAACTGCATGCGACAGCTAAAAACAATCTGTACTACTGCCATGGCATATCTACTGCACTCTGCAACAAGTCAAAATGTTTTTTTTTTTCTTTTTATTAATCGTATGCAAATCAGTATGGACAGATAGCTACATGTGTGCACCTATTAAAAAATGAAACGAATCATGCGCGAATCGACTGAGACCTAAATCCACCCATTCATCAACATTTTCAGGTCGCAGGAACCTAAATGAGGGGGATTAGAGGGAGCCTGAGAAACATACCTTCAACACTGGCTGGTCGAGCTGGAAGTAGTTGAATCAACGGGCTGCCACGGACCCACAGGTCGCAGGCCGGTCAAAGTCGTCGAGGCTGCTCGGCATCGCTGGATCCGTCGGAGGTGGAACAAGTCGCGGGCGCTTGCTGGATCTGCAAGGCGTCGACCGGCAGTCGTGGTACAGGCCGTACAATAACAAAATGGGACGAGCCCTGGCCCTTGGGCGGACGGGAACATGGGGCGACGAAGGAGCGCCGGTGGTAGGGCTGCTGCAGCTGCAGGCGGCGGCGCTGAAGTCCTAGCAATCGCCGATGCGGCGCTCCGTGCGGAGAAAAGGAGAGTGGAGGCGGAAGGGCCGAGCGCACGGAGAGGAGCGTTTTTCGGTGGGCCCTAATTTTTACCAGTTGCAAGGGGCAGTTGGTCATTGGGAAATGCCGCTGTGGAAAATCTGGGCGTTTGGGCCGTCCATTCGATTTTCTCCAGCAGAAGGCAGAAGCTGCCGAGAATCAGTTCCGAACAGGGCCTAAACAATTTGTAACGGAGGGGAGTACACAAGAAGCCTGGTACGGTGGTACCCCACTGTGCCACAGGCCATAATAATCATAATCATATCAATGAAATGATGCGCCACATTTATGCCTCCTGACGATGGCACTCATCCTGGTTGACTCATAAACGTATTGGAAACATCACAAGTTCACAACAGATAGACATGGCCACAAGGGGATGCTCCACCAGGCCAAGAATGAAGGTGACTAACTCGTTGAGTGACTTCCATTCCCACATCTGAATGGACAGAACGGCATCCTGATCATCAGTTAGACTCAAACCATTGTTCTTGTTGTCACAAACTGGTACGCCATTGCTTCTGCCCTGAAATCCCGAAAACAGGAGGCGATCAGGCATTGTTCTTCTTACAGCAAACGAGGAAATCTTCTGAAAATAACTGAGCAAATTTTACCTGCGAATGACAGTGGAAATCTTTTATCGGCCATTGCATTAATCCATTATCAAGACTATCTGGGACAGGTTTAACAGAATAGTCTGTGATGTAGGCATATTGCCCCTGTTACAGATCACTAGTCAGTAGACATCGTAATCTTTCGCAGTCAATACAACAAAATTTCTGAGCAAAACCGGTGTAATGGAAAGCGCAGTTTCAAAAACATTTCTGAAGCTAAAATAAGAACTGCAGGATCCATATTCTGTTCTGAAAATAATTCAAGCATCAATCTAAAATTGACTTCGTACACTCCAGGTCAACTAATGTCTTGATGAAAATTTTTACTATATTGTAACTAGCCAAGAGGAAACCAGATCACTTTGAGTTAGTCTTAGCAGTCAGCATGTGCCATTCACATTGCACTGGCAGTGAGCTTAGAGAAATCATGTATAGCCATTTTGTCATAAAAATTGTTGTGCACCCTAAATACCAATTGTCTAGTGTCTGTATGAGGTTCGGTGTGTACATCGCAAGAAAACATTCCTCTTGGGTGACAAGTGATTTGCCTTGATATCTGAATACTCAATAACACTACAGAACAAGCATCTCAGTTGTGTTTTTTTTTTTTTTGAAAAAAACTGAGGTATATCAAACAGTGAATCCAGTGGTAGTGCTTGAATGCTAATATAACCATCTCAGCTCTTAGCAGTTGACAGCAAGTACATGGAACTGTCTTTGTGGAGGCTAACAGAAACAACACCACATAATGACTAGGGATGTCAAATTTTTCTTATATGTTCCAAGAAGTCCCCAGCTAATTTCCTCAATTCTGTCAGAAAATGTCCAGAATCAACAGTAACTGTGGTTTCAATCGGTGATACTGTAGCAATAAGAACAAAATTCTCGCCATTACCAACATCTATTTCGAACAGTTCTGAGAAAACTTGGCGAAGAACTTCAATCATCCCTTTGTAGAAGGACCTATCTGCAGGAGGCGGAATCACATTCAGAATCAGAACTCCGCGACAATGTAGGATTGTGCGCACAGAGAGAAGGACATTTCCATGAGTCATCTCCAATGGTGGAGCGCTGACACCACACATAGCATCAGAGGAGTCAAGATCCACCATAACTGCACTGAAATTCATATCAGGCTTCCCTTGCCGAGAAAGATCCTGTATCATCTGTATAGCATCACCGACATGGACATGTAGGAACTCATCCTCCACCAGCCCAAAATGATTCCTTGCGACATCCAGGACAACACCATCGGCCTCTATGCCGAGTACATCGAACTGAAGCCCCATTCTGACTGACATGAGGAGTGATCCACCTCCGACACCAGAACAGAGACACCTAGGCCTAACACCTGACCGAATACTCTCCTCAATGGATGGCGCAGTCACTGCGAGACCAGCAACCATGGCTTGCAGGTAAGGCTGGACCAACGATCCACCCACCTCCGGTTGCAACAGCTCACCTGACCCTTCCAGTGCTTCCAGCAACGGCGACGAAGCAGCAGCAGGTGACTGGCATAGGCGCACCTGCGTCTGCACAAGGCAGGGCATGCGCTTGAACCGCAGCCTGCGGCGCAATTCAGCTGGACCGGGGCTGCAGTCAATGGCCACATCCTCGACAACCATCTCGCCAACAACAGGGCCAGCGACGAACTTGATAGGGGCAAGCCGGAGGAGGTCATCCTGGAAGGTGAGCAGCGGGACGTCAGGGACGGCGTTGTCCCGAAACGCGGCCATGGGGCAGAGAGCAAGGAGGAGGGGGAGGAGCCGAGCGTGAGTAGGGTCTGGGTCCGGGCGACGGATGCACGAAACGACCCGAGGAGAAGGCGCTGACAGCTCAGGACCAACGAGTATGAGACGGGAGAAGCGGGTGGTGGAGAGGAGGAGGTGGAGGTGGCCGGCGCGGGTGGAGAAGATCCAGTCGCGGTGCCGGCCGGCCGGGACGAGCATCGCCGCCGTCGCCGGGACGGGCGGGGCAGGGAGGGGCGAATCGAGGACGGCAACCCGGACGCACTCCCCCGCATCGCCGCCCCCGTCCCCGTAAGGATTGGAGGCGTGGCCGAGGAAAGGGTTGGGGAAGGCGAAGGAGACGAAGCGGGAAGGCGCGATGCGCCGCAAGCCCTCTAGCTCCGGGCTCACCGCCATCGCGCCCTGGCTGGCACTGCTGTGGCGGCGAGGCACAACGAAGCGCGAGAGCGATCCCTTCCCCGGGGTTTCTTGACCTCCCGAGTTCGAGGGGTGATCTCTATGGCGTACAGAGCGTATAGCGTGAAGTGAAGCGAGCCGCCGGCGTCGAGCCGATGGCGGTTGCGGAGGCGGGCCGGGGTGGAGTGCAGAGGAAGATGGGCGATGGCGACCCAAATTCTCCACCTGAAAATTCCGAGATGTCCTCTCCGATCAATGTATCGTGGGACCCACCGGCCAGTGAGTGTACTTTCGCAGCACTATTCACTGATGATGAGCATCGAGTATACTGCTTTTAGCAATTCAATTAAAACAGCTCGAACTCAAACTTCTCAGCTTCAATCATAGATAAAAATAATCTTTCTTGAATTTTTTTAACAACAATAATTAATAAAACTAAATTTGGAAAACCATTTACGATCTCCCAACTTTGGCCCCGTTCGCTTGTCTTAAAAATGGCTTGTTCAGCTTCTTTTTTCAGCCGGAACAGTGTTTTCCTCTCACAACAATTTAGTTTTAGCCAAATTTCAGACCAGCGAACGGGGCCTTTGCATACGGGGATTTCGATTTCCACCTAGTGTTTTCGATTTCCACCTAGTGTTTTGAGATGGACCCGTTCGGCTGGTTGAAAAACCAGCCAGAATTCACTGTAGCCAGCTGAAATTCACTGTTTACGCTCTCACAAACAATGAGGCGATCAAGGTAGGTTCACAAACAATGAAGCATATGTAAATTGAATTTATTTCTCCACTCAGATCTGTATCTGTGGCAAATTACGAATGGCTGTACTTGTACCTAACAGCCTCTGGGTTTCAGCTTTTCAACTAAGTTGCAGCAAAAGGATATACAAGGCCGATATATTGTATATAATACATAGGCAGGGTAACTGTAGTATATGGATTGTAAGGCTGCCAAAACATAGCACAATAGAAGCGCTACATCTACGAGACTACAGCAGAGACAGACCATGAAGTACATTTCCTGTAGGAATTTCACTGAATTGCAACATTTTTTTTTAAATGTTAACTGTTTGCACGATCATCTAAGTGTAAAAGTTTGTGCTCAGACATCTGGACCCTAGATTATAATCATCGCGGATCATGTTCTTGCTATCGGGGGACGGATTATACCAACATTGTGGTGCCAGCTAGTGCAAAGTGTTGACAGTGTCTGCTTTCTAGTCACCGGTGACCCTCCACGGGTGACCCCCATCTGAACTGCTGCATGCTTGGTTTCCAAGAAAGCTATCTCCATAGTCACTGGCCAATCTCATTTGCCTTTCTTCCTGTGGTGAAAGAATCCTGATGCACCGCACGCAGTTCACAAAGTCCCTGCAAATGCATAGCCACCAATCTTTAGCAACCAATGTGGCAGAAAGAGTCAAATTTGGAAATTGGATATGGTTGAAGAATTGATGAAAATTTGATCGAACTCTTTCAATTTCTCAATCAGATGAGACCATGGCAGAATTTTGCAGTTCCACAGTCAAAACCCAGAACAATTGATTTTAGAGCTTCTCCACATCTTTTTATCAGGAAGTGTGTTTGCTCAAAGTTATAGTTATCACTCTACTCACGGAACCATATAAATATCACAATTAAGACTGAGGCGTCAATCAAAATATCAAAATGGTTTCAGGTATTGCATTGCCCCACTGTCACCATTGATTTTACTGTTCATGTGCCACTCAATTGCAGAAATCCATCATGTTAGCCACTTTTCTTTTCCCTTTCATATGCTAGCTATTTTTTGGGCATGTTCGCTTGTCTGAATTCTGGAGGAATTTGTGAGAGAGAAACACTGTTCCGGATGAAAAAATAAGCGGATCAAGCCGGGTTTAAGGGCACGCGAACGGAGCCTTTTAGACAAATGGAAATAAAAAGCTTAAATGACTTACTCCCATGGGTCATCACCAACTAATAGAACATCCTTCTCGTGATCTTCATATACTAGCTTCCAGCCAACTCTATTTTGGTCACTGAGTTGCCCCTCAATACCAAACATACGGGCAATATCATGCTTCAGTTCATCATATCCAGAATATCTGTTGATGTCAATTGATCTTCCAACAGCACCACGCTTGTGCACCTGCAGATAAGTCCCTTGATCAGGAGCTCAGTACAGTCCTTATGCAAAGAGTGAATGTTACATTTGTTGTGAATGACAAAATTGGAGCAAAGCCAAATAACACACCTTGGTGTATGTTCGTATCCGTTGATGAGCAGGACCTGGAGCCCGGGAATTTCTATTTAAGAATGGGATATCATTGATTGATGAATCTATGGAATTGAATGCAATATCAGCAACACCAAATGAATGTGAAATCATTGAAGATGATAACTCTTGTTGAGAATCCTTTGATGAAATGTAGTTAGAGATGCCATTTCCTGGCATCTGATCCATGTACTTCTCAGTTTCAAAGGTAGTTCCAAGCAAAGAGTCTTCGTTAAGAGGCTCCATATGGCCATCAATGTTTGCCCCAAATAGAAAGTTATTTCCTGCATCTGTAACCTCAAACTCGCTATCTGGAACCGTTTCTCTCAACGGTTGATGCTGATTGAAGGATGAAGGTGGAAAATTTTGTTGCAGTGATCCGTCAGCCTGAGAAAGGCAAACTGAAGTCACTGAAGAGGACGTATCCAAATAATCCATCTGAGTGCTGTTCATGTAGTCTTGTCCAGTAGCTGGCCTTTCTTCAGTCATCTTGGGAATCACCATTGTGTGCTGTGTACTCTCAAAAGGTTTCATACCCTGTTCAAGTGTAGAACCCAATACAACAGATGATTGAGGAGCCTTTGCTGCAGTAGGTAAACATTGGTTCTTGGAGCTACTTGGAGTGGATCGCAAAATAACAGGATTATTGTTTGTGGATGGTGATGTTGAAGAAGAGGGAACATCATCCGTCTTCATTGACTGCACTCCGCCAGGCACATGCAAAGAGCGAGCACCCATGGAGGTGACAATTTCTGATTTTACAATAGAAACAGCATTCCCAGGAAACTCTTGAATTGGTTTGGGAGGTTGAGTCTTTTGCTGCGTCGGGTACTGAATAGTGCTACTGCTATGCAAACCTACCACTTGGGTAGCTACCTGCGAGCACTGCCGAGCAGTTGAATGAGAATTTACTGCTTGTTGCTGCAAATCCAATATCATTTTCTGCTGTTCCATGACCAGAGGCTGCTGTGGTTGTAGAGCCTTCAATAGTTGTATTTTCATCTGATCAGATAACTGTGTTACCATGTTTGCGTCATTAGGTACCTGATGAAAAGGCTGTATCTTTATTTGCTGTTGTTCCTGCACTGACTGCTGAACCTGCTGCTGCTGCAGATGAGGATGCTGTTGCTGCAGAAGCTGGATTTGTTGAAGACCACCTTGTATGGTGGTGTGATTTTGAACCAGAGGTTGCTGTTGCTGTAGTTGAGCTTGGACAATGACTTGAGGATGCTGAGGCTGAGCCTGGAGAATGACTTGAGGTTGCTGGACTTGAGTATGGACAAGTTGAGGCTGTGCCATACTAATCATTGGTTGGCTGACTTGCAATTGTTGAGTTACCGGATTCTGTTTCTGTTCAGAACTGCAATTTTGAACTACCTTTTGTTGTACTATAGCACTTCCCAATTGGTTTGGTGTAGCTATTACGTTTGCTAACTGTTCGGTCTGCTGGTTTTGGGGAGGTAGCAGCGAAGTGTTGAACTGTATGTTATTTTGTTGCAGGAACTGGGGCTGGAAGCTAATTTGCCTAGATAGATCAGCTGCAGCCAGAGTTTGTACAGGTTTTCCAGCTAACGAATTTAGCAATTCCGGTTGCATAACTGTGTTGACAAGAGAGGAGTTCTGTTGCATGTTCATCCACTGAACTAAACTTAATCCAGGAACTAAACTGTTTTGAGTACTCAGATCTTTCTTGCCAATCTCCTCACCAAACCATGGCATGGTCCGCTTAAAAAGATTGTCCATTTCTGAGCTATCGTCATCTACAGATATGATCAGAATATAACAAGAATTAATCAAGTACACAGACAAGGAAATTAGTATTATCAATTTGAAAGGAAATGCAATTAAGAACTTCAATGATACATGCACTAATACTATTCATTAATAGAATTGAATGCTGTTGGGCCAATAATTGTACTTCTGTATTTACCTGTTATCCCAGGTTGTCTCGGACGTTTTGCAGTGAACAATGGCGAGGGATAAATGAAGAATGGAGCTATAACAGGTTCAACCTCCCAAAGGGAAACCCTGGTGCGTCTCTCACTTGGTGCTGCTTCATCCCATGCAACCTGCATATACAAACACTTATCTTAAAAATCAAAGGGAGATGCTGCAAGGTTTGAGTATTTAGTTTGACTGATCAGGTCAAACCTGAATATTGCGCCATTGGGAGTTTTTCCACCTTACAGGATCCATATCACTTATACCAGTTATTGTTCCCATGTACCTGCAGGCAGTTGACAAAAGATCCTAGTTCTCAGAAAGAACTGTAAAAATCTAGGTAGAGAAAACCACATGCAGTTCATAGCATGATACACAAGTATTCTAGATGCACCAGAATGCTAAATTCTATATTAGCTAATTGTACTCAAGAGGATCCACTAATCTTTTTCTAAAGTGATTTCGAAGTTGATAGGACAGCTACACAGTCCAAACATTAACTAGAGCTGGAAATTTATACCTTCTTGTTGCAGATTCTTCAGTTTCAAACATCATTCTAAACCGCATGCCAAGTGATAGTTGGTTGCTATAGACAGCCTTCTGGTACTTGGCAAAAGGAATAACAAATTCTGAAGGACTAGCCCTGAAAGAGATAAAAGCAGTCTAATTGAAACTTTCAGTACATTACTTCTTTATATATTACAGAAGATGCTATTTACCTTGGATTATAGAATACTGTGAATTGGCTGTTATTAGCTGCTGCATGGGCTGCAGCAGCAAGAATTCCAATATGCATACTGTCACTAGACAAAACAGATGATGAGAGGTTAACAGGCTGCCTATTTGCCCGCCTTATCCCCAAGAGGAATTGCTGTCTTCCGTCCCTACAATCACAGGCAGGAAGCTCAGCAGCTTTAATTATACTCTGTGTAGACTAATTTGCTATACCGACTGCCAAAGAATACCATAACAGCAATCAGATAAACATTCACAGAAAGACAAGGTCTTCACTCTCCAAACTTTACCTAATAAACAGGACTGAGTCGCCAGCAAGGAGTCTCTTTCCACTGACAAATAGGCTCCAGCCAGTAGTCAGCAAATGCCTTTTAGGCTGGCCTGATGAAGGAAGAAAACTTTTAATAAAATATGAAACAATGTGTTTATGAAATAGCAAGATAGGTTTATTATGAGTACATGTTACTAATAAAATTATGAAATTAAAGAAGATAAGTGATATTTGAATAAGGACTAGACGAACTTTTATTAGTTCCTTTCATGGCCAGTAGGAAACTTGGTGCAGTATTTTTTTACAGACTTGCCTCGAAATATATGACGGAATGTCCAAATTGCATCGTGCAAATCCCTGGCCTGCAGTTCCTGAGCAGGAGGCTGCATTGAGAAGTCCTGTACAGTGCAGCGCAGACAGATTAGAACAATTAAGAAAGCCAACAATTCAGCTTTTGACCATTATAGGATGTAAAGTATTCTTACAAGATGGGGGAAAATTCGCTCTGCAGCACGCCGTGGCACAGAGAAACCTCCATGAGTGCTTGTATCACTTGCAGTCAGTGTTTTACAAAAGAACTCTGCCTGTGGTCTGGTTTGTTTCAGTGCAAGCTCTGTTGCCAGCAACGTCTCCTTGTCACAATGCATCACCTAACAGTACCAATTCCAAATTCAAGGTGGTACAGGTACATCCTATAATACAGATGACATAATTGAAGATAGGGAAGTATGACCTACATTGCTAACTGGTTGGAGAGTCATTCGAGCATAAACCTCATCTGTGTCAGGATCAGCCTGTCAAATTTTGTTGAGAGACACATTAATCAAAATCGTTCACATAAAAGAGAACTAGCTCAACAGCAGTTATTTTTCATACTGTATTGAAAGAAGCATTTCTTACTAGCATAGTGACACTACGGAGTATGCATATAAGCTTAGATGGAAGATTTGGATAGCTCGGAATTTTGGCATCTGCATCCTTTCGCATAGATGCTGCTACCTGAAATTGGCATCAAGGAAAGGAATAAGAATTGTTCACCATGGAACTCCAGACAACTCTCACAACAAATAAACAAGTGATTTTTTTAACTGGTTTATCATTTAGCTTTTATGTACCCTTTTTTTTTGCGGAACAGCTTTTATGTAACTTTAATATAAAACTGGCACACAATACACAGGCATTTCATATGAAACTCCATTTTTGTTGGGCAAACAGCCAAAGACAGACGTAGATAACTAAGACCAGGCCCTAATTCCCTAATTATTTTGTTCGCACTAGAACATGATCAAATAGACAGGACAAGGGAGGCTTAATGGCAAAAAAATGTTTACTGCTTGTCTAACCAGTAACCACTCAAAAATGTATATTAAGCTATACATGGCAAACGAGAGCTCAACATCACAGACAATAAATATAGAACTATCATGTAAGTTAAGCATCAGCCTTGGCAAAGCAAATGATCAAGTATCAACGAGCAATTGTAGAACATCACGCAAGCGGCATAAAATACTTTGTGTTCTGTTACGTCGCCCCAAAAAAGCTAAAATTAGTTGGAATACAATAACATTACTAACAACCACAAAACTAAGCCTTAATTGTGAGCAGACAATTTTCTCGCGCTGCTGTACAAAAAGCCACCTGGGAAAAAAATGTTTTTGTCAGGAGACAAATGGAAAGCAAGCATTTGGCGGCGAAGCTCCAAGAACTAGTTGCCACCGAATGGCGAACCAACCATGGAATGACACGCGCGCGGCGCACATCTCCGGAGAACACGAGGAGGCGACAAGAAAGAGACAAGCTGAAGTACGCCACAGAAAATCGCAACAAGAGAACAAATTTCATAAATAGAAGGAGCAATCTCGCTCATCGGGAGCTTGGGGGGTTGGAAAAACGGCAGCTTTGATCAAGAATCGCCGCGAGGGAGGAAAGGGACCTGCTCGCTGTGTCCCTGGGGGAAGTAGACGACGAGGCTCCCCGCCGGCGGCAGCGTCACGAGCGGCCCCGCGCACGCGTACCACAGCTCCTGGTTCACCTTGGTGCGCCCGGCCCCCTCGCCTCCGGCCCCACCGGAGCTCGTCCCCGGCGCCGCCGCCATCCCCGCCTCCGACGCTGGCGACCACCAGTCACCCAACCTCGAGCTAACTACCTCCTCCGCCGCCGCCGCCGCTGACCGGGAGGCATCGCCAGGCCCGGGCGGCCGGCGAGGAAGAAGGCGGGTTTGAGGAGCAGCTCGCAAGCAGGCAAGCAGCCCCAAGAGGAGGAGAAAGCAGAGACCCGGTAGCGGCAGAGAAAGGAGCAATAGAATAAGCACTAGCGACGCAGCGTCGTTATGCTCATGCTGCCCACTGGGCACTGGACGCCGTACTGTTAAACCACTTGTTAATTGCCGGTCAGTTGCTTGGAGCTCATTGATTAATCAGAGCACATCTGGAGCACTGCAGGACTCGCACGCACGAGCGTGTGGTGTGCCTCTGCACGTGTGAACCTTTCTGTTTTCTTTTTTTTACTGGCTCGAGAAAACCATAGCCGCAAGAATTTTTTCAGTAAAATTCCACTTCCACGTGTGGTAAGCATACTTACTGTAATAAACAGCAGGCCCTGTTATTTTTTTTTCAGTAGCACGCGGTTTCTTAGGCAAATCAAATAAACAGTAAAACATATTGGATTTTGCAAGATCCTTTATTGTGAGGGAAAAAATAAAAAAAAACTACTTTAACAAATGTCTTTATGGTGGAATATGCTTTGTGTTAACCTGATTTTAGTGCCTATGGAATGATTGTTTTTTCTTTTTGCAGTTTGATGTTTATAATCATTGGATAATCATGGAGACGGCTTGTAGCATTAATTTTACAACATTTGTGACACTCCAACCAATGTCGGCTCCACCCTTTTGTCTTACTTTTTTATTTTTATTTCCCTCTTTTTCTTTTGATTTTGCTACTAGTACCCTTTTGTTTCTAGTTTTGTGATTTTGAGAGAAAAAACTGAAAAAGCTGAAAACGGACATTATTTGAACAAATGAACTTTATTGGCTTTGTGACAGTGCATGTACTTGTACTGTTTTCTGCAACACAAATTCTGTTCCATAAATTCACACACTTGGGACATGTTGATGGAGTAATAATAATAAACTAAAAATAGGATTGCGCGTAAGTGTGCTTTTTGCTGGATTGGGGCCGTTGTCTAGTTGATGGAACACGTCAACTAGAGGACCAGAGAGCTTAACCACTGTTAGGCGAGACCAAACTAAATTAAGGCTGCAAAAGCAAGCGCTTAACCACTACGGCCATACTATACGTGCAGCCACATTAATAGTGCTGTCTATAGCAGAATTATTTGTGCAATAGTGACAGGAGGGGAAACGTGTATAATAACACACCTGTGGATGATGAGTGATATGTACTGCTTCTTCGTCCAGTCAAAATAAAAAGGGTGTCTTCTTGACTACGCACAGAAACGATTGGGACAATATTCTGAACGAAGTACAATGTATGTATATAGTTTTCCAAAAGCAAGCGTACATACATATAAATTAAATACTCTGTTGCAATGGTAGACCAGCTTTTTTACGGCTTTCCACTCTTTGATCTTTTGGTTCTGAACTCTTGAAGAATATACAGATGATGGTATAAAATGTATTAGAAATGCTTTCCTACAACACTATTGCAAACTATTAGGGCACTAGTGTGGTAGAAAAAAAAGCATTTCTAATACATTTTATACCATCATCTGTATATTCTTCAAGAGTTCATAACCAAAAGATCAAAGAGTGGAAAGCCGTAAAAAAGCTGGTCTACCATTGCAACAGAGTATTTAATTTATATGTATGTACGCTTGCTTTTGGAAAACTATATACATACATTGTACTTCGTTCAGAATATTGTCCCAATCGTTTCTGTGCGTAGTCAAGAAGACACCCTTTTTATTTTGACTGGACGAAGAAGCAGTACATATCACTCATCATCCACAGGTGTATTTATTATTGCTTCGTCGTTTCGTGTAAACGCGTGGAAAATTGCAAGGCAAAATCGCTGCTAATGGTCAAAGATACGTACCAACAGGGCAACCAAGTTCGCTCGACTGATAATAATAGTTGAAAATATTATTAACTGATTTATTATGAAAAAAAAATATTATTCGTTGACTGAAAAAGTATGGCCTGTAAGACCAAGCGAGTCTGCATCGAGAGTTGAGAAGGAAATGCTGACCGAGGAGGTGCAGTTCTCCTCAGCAAAGCTTTGGCAAGTCACTAAAGATGACCTAAAGCATTTGTAAAAAAAAAAAGGTGACCTAAAGGCTACAGCAGATGTTCAAAGTCTTCGCAACGGGAATTTACTATAGTTTAGTTTGAGCTTTGAATTTTGATGTTCTCCTCATTCCTAAGGTGTTACAAGCAAACCCTAATACAACAACATAGTTGTCGGTGTTTTGGACCGGGGTCCTCAACCGACTAGTGAAAATGTACTGCGTGTTCCTAATCCCGGATGGTGATGCAAAGAGACACAACGTTTATACTGGTTCAGGCAATAGGTGCCCTACGTCCAGTCTGAGGGAGCGATCTTGTATTCCTTGCACCGAGGTGCTTGTAGTAGGGGCTTACAAGCTGGACGAGAGAGGGAGCTAGCCTCAGATTTCTGTGAATTGCAGTGTGTGTTGCTTGAGATGCTGATCTCTCGCAGTGAAGGAGTGTGCGTGTTACAGAGTGTTGTGCGTGGCTTGCCCTGGTTTCCTCCCTCCTAGAAGCGGCCCTGGTCACTCCCTTTTATAGTCGAAGGGAGGCACATGGGCGGTACATGTATTTGCTGCGTGGCGTTCTTCGGCAGGGGCGGCATGTCCGAGCCCTGCAGCTTGTCACTGTGGCGGCGTGGTCGGTGGAGCAGTCTTGTCCTCCGTGCACTGGGGCGACGCGCCGGTCACGCCTGATCCCGTGCGACGTGGGAGCTCCTGTGGTGGCAGGAGCGCCTTCTTCTGTTGGAGGCGTGCTAGTCACTGTATGTTTGACTGGCGCGGAGTGCCGAGGCCGGGTTGATGCGATGGTGTAGGTACGCTGATTCCGAGGCTACAGGAGCTAGGCCCTGTGCACGACGTGGGAGCTCCTGTAGCCCGACGCAGGGCATGGCGCATACTGCGGGCGACGTACCGGTCCCAGAGCGCTGACAACGTAGAGAGCCAAGGCTCAGTCGATGCAGAGGCTGGACCGTCGTGGGGGGGCTCGGCGGGCGCGAGTCCCAAGGCTACAGGAGCCCGGAAGCGGGTAGCCGAGGCTCGGAGGGAGCAGTTGGCCTCGCACGTCGTTTCCGAGGCTACAGGGACCCGGACGTGACTTTCCATGACTGAGCAGGGGTTAGGCAGCACAGCGTGGCACGGGTGTCCGTCGTGGGCACAGTGCCGAGCACAGCGGCCGGTAACCCCCGCCCCGTCCTGTCTCGAATAGCATGGGGTTGATGTGACTCCCGTCTCGTCGGCCACTCCGCTGTACCGTGCCGTCGTGCGGCTGACGTTGCGGGAGTGGTTGAACGTGTTAGTTGGATGTGACGTCTCGTCAGGAAAGTCGGTCAAGGCGGCGGTGACGGAGTTGATGCCGAGCCGGCCTTGAGCGAGTCGGTAACCGGGTGCTCGTCCGAGGCCTCGTGGCGTGGGGCCTCGAGCGAGTCGGAGAATCGGTACCTCGTCCGAGGCCTTGCGATGTGGGTCCTCGGGCGAGTCGGAGAATCGGTACCTCGTCCGAGGCCTTGCGGTGTGGAGCCTCGGTCGAGCCCGGATACTTGTTCGAGGTGGGCCAGGCAGTCCAGCTGGGCCTCGGATGTGGCGGGTTTGCCTGCGGTTGTATTTTGGTTTTGTTATTTACAAGGTCTAAGCAATTTTTTCGGTTCTTGCTTAGGGTACCCCTTTTTATGGTATCCGACAATAGTTCTATTTGTCCGCTCAACATTAGTTTCAAAACCTTTACTAAAGTGGCAACTAATCACACGTTAATATGGTGTGATCACATAATAAGCTCAACGCAATTGGTTTTCATGAGAGAACGCAGCATCATGTAAGGGTCTGTAAGGGGTTGCTATTATGAATAAGACAATATACGAACAAACTCCACCAAAAGAAACTAAACAGGGTAATTTTAAAAATAGGGTTTGAGAAAACCTATGACAAGGTTAGATGGCCTTCTTTGTTACAAACAATGTGTATGAAAGGTTTTTTTACCTAAGTGGATCAAATGGGTTGAAATCTTTATAATAACAGGCGGAAGCATATGAATTAATGTGAACCTAAGATTGGTTACCTTTTTTCCAAACAAAGAAAGACCTTCATCACGGGGACCTATCATTTTCTCTTTTGATCAAAATTGTCACTGACATGTTAACAATCCTCATTAACAGAGCAAAAGAAGAGTGGTGCCACATCTAGTAAAATGATGGCTTATCAGTTCTGCAATATGATATGATGGCGTAATCGTCTTCATGGAACATGATCTAAAGCTAGCTTGAAACATGAAGTTATTACTTCATACTTTTGAGCAAGTATCACGTCTTAAAATATTTTTCATAAAAATGAAGTGTACTACTTTGACGAGGCCCAGGAAGTAGAGGACCTATATTGAGTGTTTTTATGTAAATCTAGAGATTTTCCTATGACATATTTAGGATTTCAATTCATTTTAGAAAGTTGAGGAACGTGGATTCGCGAAAGGTGGAGGACAATTTTGAGAAGAGGTCAAGCAGATGAAAAGGAAACATCTGCCGATAGGGAGACGTCTAACACTAATAACTCAGTGTTGTGTAGTCTATAATCGTACATGATGTCTTTCTTGCAATCCAAGAGGATTGCTAAAAAATTAGGCTAATTTTGTTCTAGATATTTTTTTGCAAAGTGATAACCAAATAAGGAAGTATTACCTTGCCAAATTAATGGAGCATACTTTGCCAGCTAAAAGAAAAGGAGTGTGTGCGCACTCCCACATATTTTTTTTTTAATTCATGACATGGATATTAAAAACACTGCACTTCTTAGTAAATGACTTTTCAAGTTACTTATAACAATGGGACTTGATGGATATTAAAAACACTGCACATCACCTATCCGCTCGGGAATTTAAAA